CCCTGAGGAAGGTCCTTGGGATTTGCTGCACAGCTCATGGCCCAGCTATGCAGTGTGGACTGTGTTCCCCCCCCCGCCATTTCCTGCCGTGTCCCCGCTGTGGGAACAGACACTCGGCAGCCTCCTGCCACAGCTGCAAGTCCTGCTACTGTTTGTGCTGAAACTTGAAAGTTTCTGGTCAGCTGTAACTGCCTTGACAGTGTGAAATGCACTTGAGTTCAACAGGGCTTCTGGGCCTTGTGCTGCTCTTGGGGCTCAGGACCCTCCCCAAGCCTGCCCTGAGCTCAGGCAGTGCTGTTTTGCAAGAGGTTGATTATGTTTGGGAGAAGATTCAATCGCCCTTGGAACTGGTGGTGCAGCACCATTGGGGTCCTTTTGGATGCAGGGGACAACCCTTGGTGTGCCATGACCTGCCCTCCCCACCTCCAAGCCCTGCTCTGGGCTCAGGGCTAGAAAATAAAATAGGGCCCCAATTTCCCCTCCCCAGCCTGAAGTGGGTAAAGTGGCTTTCTGGCAGCACGTGGATTTCTGGGTCAGCACAGCCTCCCCAGCAGCTGAGGCCCTGCAGCCCCCACGCAGAAACCTCAACCCATTGCTGCAAGTCACACTCTTCTATCAGTGACCCAGAGCTCTGCTCAGCCAGACTCACCCTGTGCTGCTGAAGGAGACACTTAACAACACAGAAATTTGGCATCTTGGGCTGGACGTGCCACTGAATGAACCTGCCCCAAGGTTTTAAGCAATTGGGAATTCAGTGCTAAGGGAACAGGAGCATGGGAAAGTGCTGGCTCCCTCTGCCTGTCCTTCCCTGGCTGAGCCCCCTCCACTGGGGCACCCCAGCTCCCAACAGCAGAAAGAGATCAGGGAAACACTCCACCATTTTATAGGGACTTACTCCAAACTCCCTGCTGCTCCTCAAGGGGTGGGAATGCCCATCCATGCCCTGCAGCCAGTGGCATCCAGCTCACACCCCAGCAGCTGGGTGGGTTCAGGACCCCAGCCCAGGAGAGGCCGTCTTGAGCTCAAGCTCCTTGCCTGGATTTAGTTGGTGTTGTTCATGCTGCCCAAAGAAACACTGTCCTTTACTAAACTAATTTCTCACCTTGTATTTTGCTTTGATTTTTTTGCCTTTTTAACAGGAAAAGCACTTGCTTATGTAAAACCAAGTTTACTGTTCCTAGTTATTCTTGGGTAATAAAATCTATGGCAACCATCACTACAGATCTTGCCTTGCTTCTGCCTGTGAGCCACCATGGCAACAGCACTCCCTGCTAAATCACTCCTCTTCCAAATTGCTAAAATCTCATCTCTGTATTAGGCTGGGCTCCTAGTCCAGGAGCAGCCTGGAGCTTGGTGCTCCACATCATCAGGAACAGCACTCACCAAGCTTGCACCTGCCCCTGCTGCAGGATCATTTCCTCTGACTCATTTCCCTGTCATTTAAATATTGTGTTTCCTTTTTTGGGGGCTGGAGACAGGACAGTTCCTGGGTGCAGCCCGCTGGCGTTAGATCCCAGTGCTGCACCTACACTGGCTCCTCTCCTGGTGCTTTTCATCCAGCACCTGCATCCAGAGGCGCTGAACTTCCTGCTGTGCCTGGGGCCAGGTCTCCTCGATGGTCTCCTGTCTCCTTTAGATTCAAATGCCTGTTTGTGCTCATCCCTTTGTACTGCCACTACTCATTCATTGACACAGCTGGCCAGGGTTTCCCATTTCTCAGCTGTCATTCAGTGTGCACTTCAGAAGAACACTTTGTCCCACTCCTGCAATGACCTCCCCCAAAGGTCTCATAGACAGTCCAGACATAGACAGCTCTCATAGACAGCCAGACTGGGACTAACTCGTGCCCAGCACCGTAACCCTGCTCCAGCCCCAGTGGGCTCTCCATGGATTATGGTGACACCTGACAGCAGGGCAGATGTGCCAACAGACATCCTGCTGCCACCCAAACTGCCCTCTGCCCTCTCATGTCACGGCAGTGGCCTTGTCACAGGTTTGCAGGTTAACTCTGCTCCAGGGAGGGCAGGGGGCTCTGAGCACTGCCTGTCAGGAGGTGGTTCTTGCCTGTGTTGCATCAAACCTGCTGTTTTGTCTCCATTCCGGACGTTTCTAGTCGCATTTTGGTAGAGGCCAGCTCTCTCCAGCGCCCTTGGACAGCCTCTGCCAGGGGCCACTGAGCCACCAAACACATTGTCCCAGTGCAGAGGTGCCCAGTCCTCTCCCTGCCATGAGGAAGAGTTTGCCTCTTGCTGCAGGAGCCACCCAGACTGGCAAACCCAGAGGGGTGCAGGTTGCCAAGAGAAACACCAGGAGCACACGGGGTAACAATGAAACTCAGTTAGTTATAGCTTTATTCAATAACTGGTACAAAGTTCCCCTCAGGCAGAGCCTCCCGGTCCCATTCCCTACCTGAAATGGAGCAGAATGTGAGTGTGACCCTGGGAGGAGCTGGCTCCCAGAGGGTCAGGGCTGGTTAGCAGTGAGGAAAGGATGTTTTGCTCATCCATCAAGACCTGCAGCAGCCTGACCACTCATCCCTTTTCTCCCATTAACACCAGACCCTGGCATGCAGCAGGTATCTGCTGTCCACCCTTGGTGACCCGGCCAGGTGTAAAAAGGCAGCAAAATTGTGAATCCCACAAAGACAGTAAGTAGTACCTGCATAGAGTGTTCACTGCTCACCCTTCTGACCTGACTCACAGGAATGTGTCATTGCTGGCTGTCACTTACATTCCTGCCCTCAGGTAACTGCACCCTGTGCAGACCCTGCCTGGGCAGCAGCAGTGGGAGGCAGAGCTGGCAGTGCAGGAGATTCTGGGATCTTCACCTGGCAAGGGGCACTGCTTCCCATTTCACAACCTGCTCAAGGTTAAAGATTCACCTGTGCCAGGGCAGAACAGTGACGACGTGTCACTGCGTCCTGCCCTTCTGCTGAGTCAGCAGAGGGTTGTGGAGGTGGTCTGGGAGCCAGGGCTGCTGGAGTTTAATCCCTTGTACTTGGTTAATAGTGCACCTTGTTAGTGGAAGTTTACTGGTAAATTATTTGCTCTTTCAGGAGGCTCAGGTAAGAAATCACTCTGCTCCTTCTTAACACACACACAGATGAGATCAAGACAGTATTCCTGACCATTTGTTTTTCTCATGGCTGCCTGGCATGTGGGAACACACAGACCTTCCAGTGGGCTCTGTGCCCCAGGCACAGCTCCATACAGAGCACTGCCTGCTCCAACACCTGGAGTGCCACATCCTTGTGGTCTTGCTTTCCCACGTCCCACCGATGCCATACCAACTGCACCACAAGGGTCCTTTAGCAGAAGCACAACTACAAAGCAATTCTAAACCTCACAAAGCCACAGAAATTATATTTAAATGAAGAGGGGAGACAACGGCTGTCATCTGGATTGATACACAGCACAGACAGGAGGTGGCATCAGCAGGTACAG